ATAGTTGCTTTCAACCTTTATTAAACTAAAACTCTGCTTTAATTTACACTAAATTTATTTTTTAATTATTTTCAGGTTTTGATTTATTTTAGCCTATTATTTAGTTGCAGTTTTGTCCTGTTTATATTTTGTTATTATGTTTATGTCTCTAGGTTTTTTTTTTTTTTTTTTTGTCTGTTTGGTCAAATTTGTTTTTTTATATAAACAAAGAGTTCATTTGCAAAAACACACACAAAAATACCTCTGTTTTTATAATTTAAAAAAAAAAAACATCATCATCAGTGCCATGCAAAGAGTAAATAACATGCCTCAGCTCATTTTTTTCAAAAAAGGCATTTATCTGTTTTTGCAGATGAACTTTTCATATGTTTTAAATATTCAGCTGAACAGATTTTATCTAAACTAATTACTAAATTAACTTTTTTCTTATCCACAATAAAAACGTTTTGCTTGAGGAGACCCTTACAGGTTAAACTTTGTCCCTGTTAGCATTTCTTCAACAACAAAAAAGAAATGAGTTAGAGAAAATGATCTGCTGAGGAAAACAAAGCAGTGTCCTAAAATAGTATGTTCATATGTTTCCATGCACACCATCAGCAGCCATTACAGCCTGCTGCAATGATGTCACTACCTTTATGGCCATCGCAGCCATAAATAGCTGCCACAGTCCTCACACAATAGAAATAAAAGAGGAATGGCTGACACTCATTTATTAAAAACAGAGATCCGTAGACCACTGCTCTCGTTTTATTTTGCTTTTTCAGTTTTGGAATTTTGGTTTTCACTTGTATGACCACCAGCAGCAGAAGTAAATGGACTCCACCAACAGGACCAAAAACTGACCACCAGACAGTGAAGGTTATTTAAGCATGAATACATTGTAAAAACAAAAAAAAAACAGGAAGTTGTGTAAGTAATAAAAGTTGAGCCACAGTTGAGTTCAGGTGTAGCTGTGGTGAGTCACAGGGATCGATCCTCTGGTAGGGTCATATGAATACTAACACACCTACAGCCTTCCAAAGCTCAGCAGTGTTCTTAACTGGCTTCTGGCAACCAAATATTAGGATTAGAAAGAGATTAGAAAAAAGTCTGCTATGGTAAACTGTCAACAGGCATAAGTAAGTGTGCCATCCTTCAGAGTTGGAGCAAATTAGGGCTGGGGTTTCAATTTAAATGTATTTCTGCTAATATGGGAAACTTAGGACACAAAAAGTGCTCAACAGAAGTAATAATAATAAAATAAAGAGCAATTTCTTGTATTTATATTCTGCAGAAGAGAAATCTCCCAGTTCTTTATTACCTCACCATGTCTGTCTTTGTTGTTGTAAAATAATAAAACTGTCTAGGTTTTTCAGGCCTAGTTTCTGTGGTTACACTCCAGGGCAGCTTCACCAGGACACGGCTACGATCTAATATCAGTTTTTGGGGGTGCAGAGATGTTGTAAGAAATGTTGCTGCCAGTAACCTGAAGGAAGCAGGTGTGTTTGCATGTGTGACCAGCCTGGAATTTCTCTGCTTCTTTCTTTCTTATCAATCTGCTGGTTTCACTGCTAACAAAAGGTAACTGGGCCCATTCATCATGCCTTAAATAAAGCCACATTCCTCTGTTTTAAGTGGATATTTCTTCCCCCTGTGCCTGTGACTGCTGGTGGAAATAAACTAGGCTCCAGGCTCCTTTCTATTACCACACCTAACATAAGCTGTTTATTCTTGCGCTCTGGCGCCCCCTGTTGGATTTTTATTCTTCCTTCTGAGCGACAATAAAAATGTTTCCTCATTTTCCATCAGAGTGATGTATTTGTAGTATAACCTGTATTCGGGCAAACCTTTAACAACACTCTAGGTACCTCTACACAGTTCATATTGAGAAATGTTCATTTATTTTAATTCTGCAAAGCTGAAAAATGTCTTTTTCTTATTCAGATCCAGTATGATTAACAGGGGATTTGTACAAGAGTCTTTATATTGCAAATACAGTTGTAAATTGAAAGAAAAAAAAGAAAAATAGGTCACTTAGTTTTATCTAAGCTTTAAACAGGTTTTCCCTCCGCTGCTGATGCTCCTGCTACAGATGAACCCTGATGATGTCATCATAAAAGGTAAACAAATAAGAATACCTCCTTGGACATATATCCTTATAAATCTGTATAAACATACAAAAAAAATGCAAAAAATATCAGAAAATATATAGAGGGAAAAAAAAGAATCTTTATTCATATGTGCTTTTTGGTCACAGGGCTGTCAACTGCTCTTTTATGTCTCCCTATTGGTACAAAGAACATCGTCTCCACAAATTCTCTTAAGTCTGAGTAACACTGCTGCCACTTATTCCTTGTTCACAGGAACATGTTTGTTATAATTCCTGTAACTGATTCTCTTAAAGTCTTTCATTTGGTTTCCTTTGACTGAAGATTAATAATAGATCATGTTTAAATGGTTGTTTGCATCCTCCATTGTTTTCTCTAGTGGTGGACAAAGTATTTGACTGTAGTACTTGATACTCATAGTCAAATCATACTCAACTACAAGTAAAAGTTACTCAGTCAAACATCTACTCTAGTTAAAGTTTTAAAGTACTCACCTCTGAAAATACTTAAGTGTTTAAAAAATAATAATAATAATCATAATAATTGAACTTTATTGATGTCATACAGCAGAAATTTACTGCTGCATTTGACCCATCCCCTTGGAGATCAGCGGGCTGCCACTGTGCGGCGCCCAGGGAGCAGTGTGGGGTTAAGCGTCTTGCTCAGGGACCCAGAGTGCAGGCTGTGGCGATTGAACTTTCAACCTTCTCAGAGTTAAAGCTCACTGCTTTAACCACTAGGCCAAAAGTAGATTCATTTAAATGTACATAAGTATTCAAAAATAAAATAAAATGTTCTAATATCAGTACATTTCTGTATAAATTTCAGAGCAATTTTAAAGAATGTTGTAACTTCCAGAAACCACCTGATGTACTGATACCTGCTAGATGTTCTACACCACCTGTAAAGAACTTCAGCATAAAAATACCAAAAGAAAAATTAGGACAGCTGATTATTATTTCTTATTTAAAAACAAACCAAAAAGAAATCAGTAGAGTCTTGATTCTCTTCACACTTTCACTATGGAATAGAGGTTTGAGGTCGAATCTACAACCACAAAAACACATAACTCTGATTTGATACCTCACCCTACTGAACAACTTAGCCACATGACAAACAATATCTGCTCTAAGTTTTTCTCACATTTGTGCGATTCCATTAAATCTCTAAGATATTGCCGTCCATATTAATTCCTGATATCTTACATGTTGAAATTACATTTCAGGAAAGAAAAACAGCGATTACAAAGCTAAGCTGAGCCAAAAGAAACAAGTATCTGGCAGCTTCCTCGAAATGTAGTGCATTAGAAAGTACAATATTTGAAAAATTACTCAAGTAAAGTGAAGATACTCAAAAACGTTCTTAAGTAGACTATTCGGGTAAATGTACTCTGTTACTCTCCACCACTGGTTCTACCCAAAAATTGGATTGGATCGGATAACAGGTGCATAAGTAGAATCCAAACCATCTCTTATTTGGGGGATCCCAGGGTGTTCCTATAGGTTAGACAGGATGCATAGTACCTCTTAAAGAGGTTCTCCTTCTATTGGAATGTGCTCCAAAAACATCCAAAGGGAGGCCCAAGCAACAACTGATCGTTTGTCTTAGAGCATGTTTAGTGTGAGGGATTGCATCTGAGTCAATGAGTCAATGCAATCAACTGGCTTTCCTTAGACGGATAGGAAACTTTGAGTCAATCTGACTGGATGATCTGATCTGATGAACTGTAAAGTGCCTTGAGATTACATGTGTTGTGAATTGGCGCTATAGAAATAAACTGAACTTAATTGAATTAAGAGATGCCGTGACTCTACTTCAAGCTCCCGGAAACAAGGTGGAGCTCCTCAAAGTGAGTCCAATGGCGGAAGATTATTTGTTTCATCTTATTTGTTTCATTTAAATGTTGGCATCTTGGTCTTTTGGCCCAGGTTCAAATCCTTTCACCACAAACGAGGGTCTAAATCCACTGAACCAATAACTGTTTTGTGATACTAATGCCAACTAAGAAGTGTAATGGTTTCTACGTCTTTACCCTTTTGATGTTGGGTGGATTAAATATATTTTAAAGCTTTTTATGATTTTTTTTTACTCCCTCTCACTCTTTCTAGATCCGTTTCTGAGAAGAATAACGACAAATACATTTTTAAAAGTCCAGTTTCAACTTGCTACGTTGTATTTTTGGCTGGGTAAATATTTTATAAATACCAGCTCTCATTTTTCCGAAAGTAAAGTTTTATTCTGTCAACTTTTCCGCGAACTGTAATTTAATAAGAAGCGCAACAATGTTCAAGTCCCGTGAAACAGCGACCTCATGCGGTGAAAGTAATACTGTGCACGCCTGAGGTCGTGTTACGTCACCCTGGCGGACAAGTTCCTCTCCTGGGTGTGGATAGATATTAATGTTAGTTTTAGTATAATAGAAATAAAGGGTATAATTAAACAAACAAAAAAAGATATGGAAAGATGAAAAGTAAGGAATGTGGTTCTATAAAATCCAAAAGAGAATTGGACAAATGAAAGGAACAGAAAGGAACAGATGAGATAATTATTTCAGGACACACAGGATTGAATAGGTCATTATTTTTTAATAGGGAAACATCAGACAGGGAAATGTGACTGTGGGGAAGATGAGACAGTGGAACATGTTATTTTGAGTTGTAGGAATTATTTTAATCAGAGAAACAAGTTAGTTAGAAGACTTAGTAATATGAAAATTAAACTTGATATTGTTGATTTACTGCAAACGGAATCAGGGAGCAGAGGATATCAGGTTATATTTGAGTTATAGTTTTTTTGTTTTGTTTTGTTTTTGGCATGTGGTCCACACTCCTTACCAGCTGGTGGCGGTAATGCTCACCTAACGTTTTTGCCATCCACCATAAAAAAATTCAAGAAGAAGAAGTTCCTCGCCTGGTCATGTGACCTCCTACCCGGGTCTACGATGAAGCTATCTCCAAAATAATAGCAGTTTAGCGCTAAATTTCAGTGTTTTGAATGTGATATGAGTCAGTCAGGCATTGAACTGTTGTTATGTTTAAGGTTTATACCGAAACGCAGTTCTAGCAGGGATTTTAACTGACCTGGGTGAACGATTACAGGTCAGTTGGTGTTTTTCTAGTGTGTTTAACTTTCCATTGTTTTGATCCGTCAGCAACTTTCAGTCTTTTCTCCTAACAGCGAGACTTTCCTCCTCAGTAAAATCCGTTCTTTCTTTTTATGCCGCAAATCTTTTCCTGTTTTAATTTTTTTGTTTGTTTGTTTTTTTGCTATATAGCTTATCAACAGGTGCTTTTGGGGTTTTTCAGTGTCCTATTTCCCTCTTGACTCATTGTAAACAAAACATTAGTGGTAGTGTGAAGAAACAAGAAAAGTTTGGGATTCTTTTGAAAAGATGGAAAAAATGAATGAAATGAAAAAAAATGACTAAATTGTACAGAGATCTGTTCCAAACGAAATTTATTTTTGTTTTACACTGGTGTAAACAAAATGAAGAAATAAAATCTAAGTCTAAAAGTTCAAGGATCACAAAGTCCAGACTTATAAAAACCCTGTATGAATGAAGAAAATGATTAATTCATTAACTTTAAGAAATAAAACAAAATTTTCAGTCCTTTTAGAGTCAATACACACCTTAACATGGTCCTACTCCTGCCCCTCCCCCACTGGTTGCTGTGCACTGCCAGCCCGTCGCATAAACATTGGAACCTACTGTAAAACTCAAGATGTGGAAATGTAAAACTATGGCTCTTGAGCTAGCTAACTCACCAGCTAATATCAGTTTGATATATCTTCCCTCTTACTCTGGACAGGTTGGAATACCATTATCCTTTTTTGATCTAAATTGATGAAATTTAGTTAATCAACAGCAAAGAAAAAAGGAAAATAAAAGTATAGAGTTATTGACAGAATTAACATAAGATTTTAAACGAATCAAAAAGTAAAACAAAGATTTTACTGCACAATAAAACTAATTCAAACCTCAGATTATAAAACAATGTGTAGCTACAACCCTCGCATACTTAGTTTAAAGATAAAAAAAAAAAGCTTAAGATAAAAAAAAAAAAAAACAGAAACCTTTTTAAAGAAAAGATGTAAAATCAGTTGGGGGAAAAAAAGAATTATTCAGCACAATGATGATGTTTACTTGAAAACTAGGACCATGTTTGGTGTAGTTTTTTTCTTATAGCAGAGTTCATATTTTTTTGTTATTATAAAATTAAAATCAGATAATGAATAGTTGTTAATGGTAATATGTTTCTTAATACTATAATATTTTATCATAGTAGGAGTAAATTATTTCCTGTTAAAAGGGTGTTTTTCCTCTCCACTGTCGCTACAAGCATTGCTTAGTGTGAGGGATTGCCTACGAGTCAATAAGTCGTTGCAATCAACTGGTTTTCCTTAGATAGAAAACTTTGAATCAAACTGACTGTATGATCTGGTGAACTGGGAAGTGCCTTGAGATGACATGTGTTGTGGTTTGGCGCTATAGAAATAAACTGAATTTAATTGAATAAAGTGTTTCAGGTTTAAACAGAAGCAGTTGGACCATTTAATGTTTTAGTATAAGTAGTATAACACTAATACTTTAGATGGAGGTTATAAAGTTATGTGGAGCCCATTATGTACCCTGTCTACTTGAGGTAAATCCAGACACATTTATTAGTTTTTTGTTTTTCCGGCTTATTGAGCCCACTGAGCTGCATGCTGTGTTCATGTGCCAGTAGAAGCGATCGGTCACATGATTCTCTCTCTCGTGACTCTGCCCTCTCGGTGATTTCACAGCATTAGCAGACCTGATTGCTGCTGTCAGCATCCAAACTTCCCCTCCTCTCTCATCATGGGTTGATTTCAGCTGAAAGTTGTTTTTTTCCCACCCATTTAGTGAACTGATGATTAGTGTTGAGTTTGATCCTGAGCAGCACGCAGAGCTGCGTGTCTTTGTTCTAAAGTTGAGCCGTGCAGCTGATGGTCTTTAGGTTTAAACGGCTGGAAGCTTCTCTTTGTCCTGTTGTTAGAGGTTAGTGTTTGAACAGGAGACATGACTCCATCTGAAGGCGCTGTTCTATTAGCGGCCAGCTGAAGCCTTAAAAACTATAAATACTGAACGGTATCTTCTGTTAGTCCAGACAAACGGTTGCTTCACCTTGTTCTTTTTTCTAATCTGGTTGTCATCACTGGCTCTGAGTTTCACATCTTGAGCCTGATCGCCTGATGTTGTTCAGATGGAAAACTGCGATTTATTTTCTCCATGTTTGCTTTTAGAGTCGCAGAGGAACATCTCACTTCGTCTGTCAACATGAAGACCGACATCCCCTATAACCAGGTCAGTGAGCCATTTTTTCCCTCTTTTTAAAATACTGTTTTTCATATAACATTAATCCTGATGACTGTTTATGATTAGTGCCTTGATCTGTGTCAATAAGCGATTAAATAACTTTAACATACTAATAATTTTGTGTATTAATACAGCAAATGAAGCTATTTTTTCTTGTTTCTTTCTGTTTTCCTTATGTGTTAAAATACTTTTATTGGGTCACTGTTTTACAGCGAGCCAAAGCAGGAAGTAAAGTGACAATTGAAAGGGATTATTGGAAGTTTCACTCACATGTTTACTTCTCTAAAAAAAACCTGCAGAGCCGACTGTATATATTAAAAAAAAAAAATCAGTTGCAGATTTTAGTTTCAGCAGCCATAATCTGTTTGATATGAAGAGTTGAGCACTAACTGTGTGAATGTGTGCAGTTGGATGCAGAGGGAAACAAGCAGGGATCGTCCCAGAGAGCCCAGCTGGTACGTTTCAACTCATCTTAAGTCTGTTGTTTCCACTCAGGACTAAATGAATAAATCCATCCGTTTCTCCGTTAGTGCTACAGGTGTTTGGTCGCCCTGGCCTCAGTGGCCTGTGTGCTTCTCGCTGCTGTAGCCATCTATAACTTCCTGACCGCACCAGCCTCCTCCTACCATCCTGCCCTCGTCTCCTCTGGCCTCCAGAAAAAGATGGAGTCCTGTTCAGATCCCTGCAAGTAAGCAAGCCTCTGCTTATTCCTGGTTTACACACCGCACACTTCGTCCCATTTATAGATTTACATTGGAAGGGATCTGAATCATGCATGGGAAATATAAGAATACATGAGTCGGACCCTTTTTTGATGCATATGTTGTTAAACAGATTCGATTATTCAGCTCTGTTACAAACCTTTTATAGAGTCTAGAGCAGAGATCTGTAAGCTTTTATATCCAAAGAGCCTTTTTCTCCCCCGAGTCCGACTAGGTAAAAGTCATTTAGAGCCGCAAAATATTAAATGACTATTTAATCAAATACCATCTATTATTTTTATTAAGTATCTGTCGTAGTGAATCTGGTGTATCTTAAACAATCAAATGTTTATTGGTATTTCACCTTTTAAAATAATGATAAAACAAATAATTTCCAAGCTAATAAATAGAAAAATGACTCTAAAAGCATATTTTTATGTAATTCTGATGTGGAAATTCAGTTCAAATATTCTTAATAAAAGCAACTAAAGCTCCTAAGCCTGGTGTTTTTTAAACAAAGTATATTAGTTAGCTCTTTATATCATTTATAGCCTAAAGAGCAGCTCTGGAGCCACATGTTGCAGATCCCCAATCTAGGGGAATAAGAGAACTGCTAGATCAAGGTCAGCATGAAGAGGATTTATTTAAACAATATGAAGTTTTCATAATTGGGAAAAAAAAAAACAGACGCAGATCTCATCAGGGTCTCCAAGGCCAAAACGATGCGCATTCTGGCTAAAAATACAAATCACTCTTACGGGATTAGATAAAATAACAGTACCTGAGCTCCCTGTCTAGCCACAAAACAGGAGAAAACTAAGTGGAAGAAAATGACAGAGAACCTCTACAAAGCTTCCAATCCACCAAACAACTTTAAAGAATCTAGCATAGTAAAGCAGAGCTATTCATCCACAGAATAAAGCAGAGCTGTCAGCTAAAAGCTTTCTCTCCAAATGGCTAAAGGGAAGTATGTGGTATTGGATGACTGAGGCTTTAATGCAGTCCACTGATGAGGTGATGGAGTTCAGCTGTGCACCAGGAGCTTAAGATCTGCAAAAC